CTACTGCTATATTACTTCTCGGATCAAAGGATCATCTTTCCAATCTTGAATGTTGCATGATCGTCAAGCAAGTTTCCTTCTTGTACTCTCTGAACTTCTTTTAGCCCTCGGTGCATGTCTGTATATGTAACTGCTTGATTGAAAGCTTTTATCTCTCTTTGTGAACATTTTTGCCTAAATATTTCCTTGCGGATCAACATTTTCTCATTATGTCATGTTGATAAAATGCAATGCAAAAAATGTGAAAATGACACAAAAAGAAAAGAAACAAGTTAGTACAGGTAAGATCATTAATAGAATTAAAAGATGCTATTTAAATATACACCTACCCAATCATGGTATCTACCCGAGCATGCTTTTATTAAATAGAAATCATACCCGGACATGTTTTCTACCCAAAATGGTTATTTTCAAAAAATTGATCCTAACCGCATGGTATCTAGTTCACATGCTTTTATTCAACAAAATTTAAAGCAAAAGGTAAAGGTTCAGAAACGATCTTTCTTTGTGTACACTCATTTTGGCATCTACTGATGGATAGAGGTTCGGTATGGCTATATCATTCTACGGTTCACTATATGCATTATTTCGGCTCTATGAGGAAAGGGTACTCGAATTGTCCTTGATGTCAGTGCCCTCTTGGGCTATCAAACCCTCAATCATAACCCATTACAGGCATAAACGGATCGAGTTCAATTCAAAGGGATTCACTTCCTTATACCCATAAGAGGAATAAATCCCTACGAAGGTATAAGGTATGTGTACTTAGAGGTTATTTGCTAAAACTCATACAAAGAATAAATTCTTAAGAGAGTAAAGCGTTCACCCCCACTTACTTGGAACGAAGCTCGGGTTTAGAGCTTATGTCATGCAAATGTACGTGAGGTGTGTGACGAGGAACATACGAACCTTTGACTCAAAAACAAACGGAAAAGTCTTGGCAGAAACTTTAACACATCTGAAAACATGAATTAAAGCATTAGTATGACAATTTAAAAAAATAGAAAAACTTCAATAAACGGATAATAAACTAATTATAGACTCTAAATTATAATTTCCACCACTACAACAATATGTAAGTGACTTACAGCTTGACTCTCTAAAAAATATCTACAGCGGAGTCGCAAAGCTGTCATAACAATTTTTTTAGAAAACAATTAAGTTTAAAAAAACAATTATGACTATATTTGAAAAAATTGACGATTTTGAATTAATTTAAAAATTTTAAATTGAAGTCGACATCAACCTTTGGGCTAGGTAGGTCGAATACCTAAAAACATCTTTTTAAAACAATTTTAAGAAAAATTATTTTTTTAGATAAAAAATGGTATGCATTTACCAAAAATCTAATTTAACGAGTTCGAGAGTTGGTTACGCGTGGGGAAGGATTAACACCCCTACAGAGCCCAAAATTAGTACTTAGTCGCTTATCTATTGTCGCAAATGGTGGAAATTACTAATTTGAATATAAAATTAGAATATGATCCATTTAATTTATTCCAAATTAATTATTTAAAGAAAGTTCATTGACTTGATAAGAAATCTTGAGATTTGCAATCCTTCGTTAGGAAAGTTATCTCAATTATTTCTCATTTGTAAAACAAGATTCTATCTTTGAATTATTTAAAACATTGAATTAATATCGAAAATTTGCATGAAATAAATTGTTATTCATTTTTCAAAAACATAAATTATTAATACCAACATTAAATAAAACAAAATTAAAATTAAAATTAAAATTAAAATTAAAATTAAAATGAAAATGAAAATGAAAATGAAAATGAAAATGAAAATGAAATATTATATTATATAAAAAATTACCATTATAAAAAAATGCTCAATGCTCGTGTTTTCAAGTTCATATTTCGTTCGAATGTCGTACATGATTACACTACTTCGATCAAGTAGTGCTTTCCACACCCATTCTACAAATAAATGTTCTTGAAAATATTCGAGTAACATATCAAATTATTAAATAAATAAGCATAAAAAAGGTACGTAAATATACTATATGAAAATATATATATATATATATAAACATGTAGACATAAACGTATAAATATTTAACATGACATTGTATGCATCGCAATATTTACAGCAAAATAGGTACACTCTAAGTTAAGGGCTAATATACGACAACAAACAATACAGGGATCAAAACATGTGAATACCAAAATACAGGGAGCTAATCATTCAATGATCCGAATTTTCAAGCATAAGACGGTGATCAAATTGCATATAAGCAAAATTTCGAGGAACTGAAAATACAAATAGACCGATTTTTAACAATATTGGAGATGGGGGACTAAAATAATAACATGGAAAAATGCGAGTCAAGAACAAAGATATATCAAATTTTATATATAGCATCAGCAAGTACCAAAAAAATGAAATAAAAGTCACAGGCCCTATTATGTAATAATTACAGGAATTAAAACTCAATACAATCAAAACAGTATGGACTAAACTGGAAATAAAGTCCAAGTTAACACTCAGTCAAAGTTAGTGACCAAAATGTATACATAACCAATCACTAGACTTCAAAGTATGATTCACACAATTTTAAATATTTGTAAGTACAAATGACCAAAATAAAATGAACCAAAAAATTCGAAAGGGTAAATAAGAATTATACCTAAGAGAAACTGTATACAGAACAATGACTGAAATGAAATATATTTAAATATTATGACCAAAGTCAAACATTAACGAAAATGGTATACTACATATGATGGTGACTTAAATATAAACATTGAAAGATAAGAGCTCAAAACAAAATAATATAACACTTCAATTAATGGCCAAAAGGTAAGATTATAAAACCATAAGGACTGAAGCAGTTATTAACCCATGCGCGAAAATACAGCACTACCCCTTTCTGAAACTACGTCGTTTCATAGGTTAAATATGTTTGAAACTAAACCCAAATCAGGCATTCCCCTCTCTTTCTCACTATTCACTCTTTCTCTCCCTTTTTAGAGAGTGAAAACTCTCTCAACCCATCCTTCTCCCCCCTGAGGGAGATGAACCGTCGCCTCCTCCATGCGGTCACCGTCGAGAACGGCACCAGTGACCAAAGATAAAAAGCTGAAACTCCCCAAAAGTTCCCCTTTTTAGTACTCAGACCAAAAAACAAACCGAAGTCCTCATAAAAAAACCCTCGGTCCTAGATCTACAACCAAACTTAGAGGTTACCTTCGGAAGCTCAAGACTTTGGACCGATGAAGGCCTTGGCTACTGTTCGGCAACGGAAAAGGGAGTCATTTCTCTCTTCTTGTCTCTTTTATTTTTGTTTTTTTAGCTATTGTTCGAATGCTTTCTTTTTTCTGGTTTTCAACTTTTTTTTTCTGGTTTGTTTGAATCATCCCACTGTTTTTTGTTCGAATCCCCCTTCTCTCACTCTCTCCTTCGTTTTGGTTCCCAGTCCCCGAAATATATCTTGCATGCTCACTTAGGGATGATTTTTTAGGTGAATGATGAGATGTACAATACGTACATGATTTCTCTGAATTTGGTAAGTAAAATCCTTGATTTTTTGGGATTTAGGATTTTTTAAATGGGGTTTTGGATTCAGTGATCTATGACTGATGGGGTTGTTTTCCCCTTTTTTACTGTTGATGATGACTTCTCATCACTGTAGGTTGAAAATCGCAGCATCAGCAGGTGACAACGATAGCGGGGAATTCCGGTGACGGTTCATGCGAGGGGAAGAACGGAAGGTTGGCTCGTGCATCGCACGCGTTCCATCGAACGATCTGGATCTATATGTGGCTGCGGCAGTTGTAATATGTTAAGGTGAAACCCTAGATTCTGGGCGATCTGGACCATTGATCTTCAACCTGATTGGACGGCTGATACTAGGTGATTGCGCTGGGCTAAAGTGTGTAACCCTAATTGGTTTGGGCTCCCCAGGGGGTTTCAATTCGGATGGGCCGGATTGGTGGGTTTGTAAGTCTTAGTCTTTGGGCCATTAGCAAGGTCCTGGCCTGTTTGGGCCTTGTTGGATCTGTACCAATTGAAACTGGCCTGCAAAAATATGTCAATAAATATTAATAAATTAATAATAAATTAATTAGAACTTGGACAAAAACGGATGTCTACACATGTATGTATATATGTATGGTTTTATGTATGATATACACGCTCAACAGCCATACATGAGTTGATAAACTTGAAAGAAATATCATTGAAATGTTCTATATAAAAGTCGACCGCACTCACAGTTGATGTTATAATTGCATTCAGATTCTTTACATTCTAGAGAAGGTCCACTGCAAAGATTACTGCATATTTTACATGGACGACAATTCCAGATGTATTTCACAACAGTTAACGGATGTTGATGACAAGATAATTTGACTTTACTTCCAAGCTTCAAAAAAAGAGGATCCAAAAGAGCACATACATAATGGAGAGAGTTATCACAATCGGTACAGTAGTAAAACCAATCATTCGGGTCTCGTTCATTCTCACACATATCACAGTAATGTTGAGGACTAGAATCGTCCGAATAAGTCGAAGTAAGAGGATGTTTGTAATACTTGTACCGAGCCATGAGCGGTAGCGTCACACATCGTATGTCTAAAGTGAAATCACAACGCTTCATGCATCTATATGCAATACGATCTTTGAATATTACTTCGAGACAACCACTGCACTTCGTTGGAAAGTCGTGGATGAGAAAGAGTGCATGCTCATGACTCGGATGCTTCAAAGTGTCTGATAATGAAATACATTGAACGTCGCATCGAAAGAACGATCCACAATCTTCGTAGTCGCATTGGTAGCTAAATCCATGGCAAGGACGCCAGCAAGCATATCATATTGAATAGTTATCCCACGAGTTTGAGTTCGAGAGTGTCAACAAGTGATTGTGAATTGGATGTCGTCTTTTTCTAGGTAATTCAGCACAATGTTTATGAAGAAAAAACTCGCATTGCTCACAACTATAGAAAGGAGTTGAGATAAGCTTCATAAACCCGTCACATTGTCTATCATCTCCTATCTCGCCACTAAAAACGAGTTTTAGATTGTGATCATGATACGCATTTTTTTATCTCAACCGCGACCATATCCTCACCGATACTCATTTGTTCAACACCATCGGTAATCAAGTTTCGATACTCACACGGTGCTTCCTTGCACCTCTCATCGACTTCCGAGATAATTGTTCCATCCCAAATTGCTTTATTAGTTGCACAATGTACATGAAAAATATAAATACAATCCGAATTAGAACAACAGCAACCACCATACCTCATATCGACTTCCTCGTAACAAATCCTGCACATCCAATCTTCAAACTGATCTTCTTGAAGATAAAATGAATGAGAAATCACATGATGATGTCGTGTAATCATGATATTCCGGGGCATCGAAATACATTTCTTGTGTACAACAAGGTTACACATAATGTAGAGATAAGGGCTGTGATCTCCGGCGATGCCACAGGAATCACAAACAAATGAAATTTGTTTCAGTAAAAGAACCCTGTGGTGTCCATGGCTTGAAAATGTGATTTCTTTTGGTGCCAAGAAATCATCAAGGGTAAGGTCAAAGTTGCAAATAGAGCAAGAATAAACAAACCCATCCCACTGGATTTTGCACAAGTAGCAGCTACAATCGAGACGATGAGTAGCAGCTGGTGCCGACAAGAGAGTAAGAGGATGCTTACGGTCATATGGGTGTTGAATCTCAAGGCTTGATTCTGCGCATTTCTTATGAAGGTTAAAGATGGTGGGATAAGTACAATCGGAACAGTGGTAAATGGGACCGGACAATGGATTCTTGCAACCGCAGCAATCGTTTATGACTTCCTCGTCATGGTTTTGGACGAAGAACAATGGATGCTGGTGCAAACAAGTAGGAAAATTGGAAGCAACGGAGACTTGAAGCAAAGCACAGGTTCCATGGAGATCGAAGTCACAGGAATCACAGCGATAAGCGAATCCCCTAAAGCGGCGTTCAAAGAAGTTACAAGAACCCAGGTAAGGATAGTTTGGGAGGAGAATCAAAGGGTGTGGAGGGTGGAAAGGATAATGTGGGAGGGGAACTCTAACTCTGCGCATCCCTTATGAAGAGAATACTTACATTCATTGCAGCCATATCTGGGACCCTCTAGAGGCTGATCACAACCAAAGCAGTAAGCTCATTCACTGGGGTGTTGGATGAACAACAATGGATGTTAATGGCTGAAAGCATTGGTTTCCATTGGCAACAAAGAAGAGTATAGTTTAATCATGGCCTTGTTGTTGCTTCAGTTGAAGAATAGCGTGGTGACAGTGAATGGGTAGTTGGCAGTATTTCTAATCCTCAACCTCCATTGTTAATAAAGACCTCATTTTTTTAATAATATTATTATTTTAACATTTCACATTGTTTATATAAAACAAAAGACATTATACTATCTTGAGGCGTTAAAATACAGTCGCAGGTATGCCGGCTGTAGGCATCATAGCTCGTGATGCTCATGGCCTGGTGTTGGCTGGTCGAGCTATTCCATTACCGGGTCGTCACGATGTAAGTATTTTGAGGCGCATGCCATCTATTTTGGTATCGAAATCGATAAACTTGAAATCAAACCTATGGTCTTATCTTGGTTTGATTCAAAATTTTCAATCTGAAACCAACATACATAAGAATTTATCAAATAACCTTAATGATAAAAAGAAGTATTATTCTGTTTTAAGATCTCGAGTTTGAACAATTGTATCTAAGGAGTATATATATTATTAACAACTAAGAAACATTACTAGAAAAAACCCCTTTAATGACGTGTGTCGTAACCGGTTTTCGCCCGGGCACGAAATATTTACTTGGCGGGAAAAGTGATGTGAATAAATGGTTTTTAAAATAATTTGGGAGTCGCCATTGGCCTTTTAGGTTAGGTAGGTCGAATACCTAAAAATTATCTTTTAAAAGAGTTTTAAGAAAACATCAGTTAAAAGATGAACTGATCTGCGTTTTAACCAAAAATTCGTTCTTTTTAATAATAAAAAGGGATTCGTGGTCGGTTACGTTTAGGGAAGGATTAGCACCCCTACAACGCCCAAAATTGGTACTTTTTAATTATAAATTGTCTCTATTATTAGAAATTTTAAAAATTCAAAATATATTTAATTTATAATCCTATTATTTTAAAATTATAATTATGAGAAAAAAATAATTTATATAAAATATTTATCTAGTTAGAAATATCAGAAAAGGACTTCTAGGTGTCTTAAGACAGCTCTTTTCTTCGATATTAATAAATATTAATATAATAATTTAAATAAAATTAAATTATAAATTTTTTATAATATTTAATTTTAAAATACCAGAATATGACATCCAGTTGTATTAAGACTGCCCTTTTCTTTGATATTGAAAAATAAATAAATAAATATTAAAATAATTTAAAAAAATAAATATAAATTATTATTATATATATTATATGACTATATAAAATAATATTTAAATATATAAACAAGTAAAATTAAAACAATGAAAATACAATTAGAACTATATATTTAAAAGCAGTAAAATAAATGAAAATATTTAAAATTAGTGTCTAAATTATAATAAAATTAAAATTAAATACCTAATTCATAATTAATCAAAATTATAGGGATTAAACATGCTATTTTCTTATTTATTAATTTAGTGACTAAAATAAAATTATATAAAATTCGGATATTAGATTAAAATAAATTAAAACATACTATTCAGATTAAAATATTAATTATTAAAATTAACGGACTAAATCTGTTATTTACCCTAAATATATTATTTTAATACAAAGGACTAAAATAAATAAAATTAAAATTAAAGAACCGAATTAAAAGGATTATAAATTGATTTAGTGACTAAAATGGAATGTTACAAAATTAAGATGGTTGCGGAAAGGGTTTAGCCAAAAGGAAATTACGAATATACCCCTCCCCTAAACGGCGTCGTTTGGGAAGGGGTATATATCCCTCAACCGGCTGGCCCGAAGGGCCAGCATCTTCATTTCTTTCCTTTCTCTTCTCTCTCTAACTGAGAGAGAAGAATTCTCTCGCCTCTCTCTAGTTTCCCTCATCGGAGGGAAGCCGGTCACCGGGCGGCAGCCGTCTGCTGCCGTGATTCTCACCGCCGGCCACCGCATTCGGTGGCCGAAAAATTTTATTTTTACACCACTATGTAGATCGGACCGTCCTAATGACGGTTCCGGTGCTCTTTTCTCCTAAATAGCTCCCGATCGGAGCAAATCTAAGAAAATACCTTTGGTTTTCGAAGGTTGTTGGTGACGTTTGGAGGCCGGTGGTGACTCCGATCACGGCGTTGTCTTCCCGGTAAGTTCTCTTCGTTTTCTCTTGCTTTTTTTTGTTGCTGGTTTGCTTGCTTTTTCTTGTTTCTTTTTTTTCCTTTTTCTGTTGGTTGTTTTTTTTTCTTTTGCAGGTTGGGTGATGGCTTTATAGCCATCACCGGTGTGGCCATCGGACCGGGTAAAAGAGTACCCTTCGGTGAGTCATCGAACCCATAGTGGCGACTCACCCTAGGGCCATAACGTGGACGGCTGGCGTTGGAACTTCTGGAGCCTTCGGTTGGGGCGTGGCAGCGGCTGGAGCGACGTGGAGCGACGACAACTAGTGTAGTCCCTAGGGTATCATAACCCTAGGGTTTCATCTGGCGCATCTGTGGATCGTTGGATCTCATCAGATCCAAAGGTGGATGGTTGAGGCGGCTAGGGTTAGACCAAACCCTAATCTGTTAGGGTTTAGTTGGGCCATTTGTAATTGGGCCAGATAATATAGGCCTGTTTGTAATTATTATTATTATTATTATTTTAATAATAATAATATATAATAATTATAATAATAATAAAATGGGTAAAAAAATTTAGTATCTTCAGCTGCCCCTCTTTGCTCATTCTTGTATTAACAAGAATAGGGCAAAGAAGAAAAGATAAAATTTTTTTTATCCATTTGGCTTCACTTGATTATGATGGAGATGTTGAATAAATTCTTCTCTTTCTTCAGATGAGTTCTTCTCATTATGAACTTTTCGCTGGGGATGATGTTGACATATTTCCTTCTGTGATAGAGTTATTCAAAAGGTTGAATAAGCTCTTCTCATTATGAACTTCTTCTTTCTCCTTCAGATGAGTTCTTCTCATTATGAACTTTCTCTGGAAAAACTGATCCATCAAGTGATGGATTTGAGCAAAAAGTTGAGCAAATTCTTCTCATTATGAACTTGTTCTTCCTTCTTCAGATGAGTTCTTCTCATTATGATCTCAAATTGGAAAAGCTAAACCATCAAGCGATGGATTTGAGCAAAAGGTTGAACAAATTCTTCTCATTATGAATTTCTTCTTCCTTCTTCAGATGATGAGTTCTTCTCATTATGAACTCTACCTGGCAATGTTAATCCATCGAATGATGAATTTAAATAAAAGGTTGAACAAATTCTTCTCATTATGAACTTCTTCTTCCTTCTTCAAATGAGTTCTTCTTATTATGAACTTCTCTTGAACAACTGATCCATCAAATGATGAATTCAATCAAAAAGTTGAACAAGTTCTTCTCATTATGAACTTCTTCTTCCTTCTTCAGATGAGTTCTTCTCATTATGAACTCGAACTGGTAACGCTGATCCATTGAATGATGAATTCAATCAAAAAGTTGAACAAGTTCTTCTCATTATGAACTTCTTCTTCCTTCTTCAGATGAGTTCTTCTCAATATGAACTCGAACTGGTAACGATGATCCATTGAATCATGAATTCAAGCAAAAAGTTGTGTAAGTTCTTCTCATTATGAACTTCTTCTTCCTTCTTCAGATGAGTTCTTCTCATTATGAACTCGAACTGGAAACGCTGATCCATTGAATCATGAATTCAAGCAAAAAGTTGAGTAAGTTCTTCTCATTATGAACTTCTTCTTCCTTCTTCAGATGAGTTCTTCTCATTATGAACACGAACTGGAAATGTTGATCCACCGAATCATGAATTCAAGCAAAAAGTTGAGTAAGTTCTTCTCATTATGAACTTCTTCTTCATTCTTCAGATGAGTTGTTCTCATTATGAACTCGAACTGGAAATGTTGATCCACCGAGTCATGAATTCAAGCAAAAAGTTGAGTAAGTTCTTCTCATTATGAACTTCTTCTTCCTTCTTCAGATGATGAGTTCTTCTCATTATGAACTCTACCTGGCAATGTTAATCCATCAAATGATGAATTTAAACAAAAGGTTAAACAAATTCTTCTCATTATGAACTTCTTCTGGAAAAGCTGATCCATCAAATGATGGATTTAAATCTTTTCTAAAATCTTTGAAATTCCTGTCAAATTTCAACATGGATGAGAATGAATGAAAATGCACCTATTTTCCCAAATGCCTAAATATGATGCATGATTATTAAGTTATTTGATTTCAGATAGGTGAACTGAGTATTTCTTCAGTTGTAGAAAGCCAATAAATCTTTCTTCTTCAAATCAGAGAATCTATCATCTTTGACAAATGTAGATGTAGATATAATGTCACAAAATCTCTTGAGAATAAAACTCAATAGTATAGGCTCTTGAAAAGCTTGCATTCATGCAACATGTTGATTCTGATAACAACTCATCTGATTATGAAGTGATCTTTCAAGATGATTTCGCAGATATCGATAGTTCTTTTAATACCGAGAAAATCATGAACTCTAATTCTGATGAGGAGAGTAAACTGTTATACTTGAAAAGAAATGGGATTTTCAGATGCTATGTCTTCAATAGTCATAGAGATATAATCTTGATTCATCAATTGCAGAGTTGACAGATTTTATATGTGCTGCTCAAAAGGCTAAGGCTGCTGACGCACTTCTTCCGGTAAAAGGTAGGAAGCCATTATGCAATGATCCCAATTACAAGAAAAGGCGAAACTTGGGCTATGATTTTTGGGAAAGAAATAAGTAGAAGAAGCTTGAAAAGAAGCTTCTTAATGAAGACGATCATGCAGTTCATCTTTTAATTCCAATGATTGGTTCTGTGGTTCCTACCAAACCAGATCAAATAACTCAAAGAACACTTCCAGAAGATGCTATTGGGTATTCTTATTTCTACTATGAGCACATTCATCTTTCAAATCCAATGATTGGTTTTTGTGGTTCATACCAAACCAGATCAGATAACTCAAAGAACACTTCCAGAAGATGCTATTGAGTTTCTTTATTTCAAATCCAATGATTGGTTTTTTCGGGGTTCATACCAAACCAGA